AGGGCGACAGCTTGAGACTCTGTCTCAAAAAAAAAAGAAAGAAAGAAATTTGTGCTCCTAATAAATTTTTTTTAGTTATTGAACTTAAAAAGGCTTTAATGTTTTTAAGCATTTAGCATGGTATTGTATTAATAGGTAAAATATTCTCTAGTGCGCTTTCTGAAAAGATTGTCTTCTCTGACTTTCACTCCCCATGTGGCAAATGAAAAAACATTGTCATGTTTTAAGCTTCTCTTACCTGTAATTGAAATCCCATGTAATAGAAATATTTTAATTGACAAATAATAATCATATACATATATACAATAGATTTTAACATTTAGTATCTCTAATATTTTTAACCAATGTATGTTAGTGAAATATAAAAGGCTCAGAGAAGAGGGAAATTCTGCCTTACCCTTTTATAGGTAGGTCATTTGGAATTTCACAGAGGCAGAAATGAAATGCTGGTTCATCCTTAAGGTATGATACAGAATCTTCATTTCCTGTCTTCTCACATCAGAGCCATTAAATTGAATTATAACAAACTTAATTAGATTAATGTGGAAAAAAATATTATTCTTATTTATGCCTGTTCTGCTCAGTTAAAATGAGCTCTTTGACTGGATTTGTTTCCGCCATGATAGGAGTAGCGCAGGACTCATTAGCTTCAAGGGTACTGTGCTAAAGATGTTGATGTTCTAGGCCGGGCTAATCCTAGCATTCTAGGAGGCTGAGGCAGGTGGATCACCTGAACTCACAGGTTCGAGACTAGTCTAAGCAAGAGCAGGACCCCTATCTCTAAAAAATAGCCAGGCATTATAGCTAGTGCTTATAGTTCCAGCTACACAGGAGGCTGAGACAAAACAATCGCTTGAGCCCAAGAGTTGGAAGTTCTTGTGAGCTGTGCCACCATGGCACTCTGCCAAGGGCAACAAAGTGAGACTCTGTCTCAAAAAAAAGAACATTGATGCTTTCTGTCTTATTTCTGCATAAAACCATTTTTACCAAAACATGCCTCTCATTTCTTGATTATTATGGTATGTGAAATATTGAGACTATCCTGGGTTTTATTTGTTGTTGAAAAACAGCATATAACAATGATGGGGTTTTTTTCACACAAGTTATTTTCTTTCTGCCCTGTCATTACCTTAGTAAATCAGTTGATAGTTCGTCAATTAAAAGTTGTCTCTTTTAATTTCACTGATTAGATTTAATTTCACTGCTGAATTTTGCTGACAAAAATACTGCCTTCTGTTTCCTCTTTTCCTCATTTGAAATTTAGTCACTGTCAGGGTTGAATCAAGTGGGCTGTGCTGCTACCCTGCCTCATTCTTCTGCCTTCACACCTATTCAGGTATCTCATAATTCACCAGGAAATTTGGGGAGTGAGTGTATAATGGAGGTCTTAAATTTTCCAATGGCTTGGTCTAATGGCATGTAATATACCTAACCTTAAGAAACTTGATTTTTTTTTTTTTTTGAGACAAAGTCTCAAGCTGTTACACTGAGTAGAGTGCCATAGCGTCATCATAGCTCACAGCAACCTCCAACTCTTGGGCTCAAGTGGTCCTGTTGCCTTAGTTTTTCTATTTTTAATAGAGACGGGGTCTTGCTTTTTTCTTTTTCTCAGGCTGGTCTCTAACTCGTGAGCCCAAGCAATCCACCTGCCTTGGCCTCCCAGAGTGCTAGGATTACAAGTGTGAGCTACCACTCCTGGCCAAGAAACAGATTTTTTTTTTTTTT